CCAAATTTCATACCTTTCCTTTGTTAATAATATAATAATATTAATTATATTATATTTTTAAAACCCATTCATCCATTAATGGACATTTGGGTTGTTTCTACCTTTTAGTTATTGTGAATAATGATGCTATGCATGTCAGCGTACAAGTGGCTTTTGGAATCTCTGTTTTCAATTCTTTTGGAAGTATATCTAGGAGTAGAGTTGTTGGGCCATATAGTAATTCTATGTTCAACTTTTTGAGGAATTGCCATATTGTTTTCCACAATTCGGTTGCATCATTTTACATTTCCATCAGCAATGTACCAGATTTCTAGTTTCTTCACATCTTTAATAACCCTTGTTATTTTCTATTTTATTTCTTTGCTTGTTATCAAAGCTAACAGCCATCCTCGTGGGTGTGACATGTATGTTACTGTGGTTTTGATTTGCCCTCCTCTAACGACTGATGATGCTGAGCACTTTTTGTCTGCTTATTGGTCAGCAGTACACCTTCTCTGGAGAAATGTCTATTCTAGTCCTTTGCCCATTTAAAAAAATTGGGTTGTTTTTTTGTTGTTGAGTTACGAGTGCCTTTTATATATTCTGGATATCAGATATATGGTTCCCAAATATTTCCTCCCATTCTGTAGGTTGTTATTTCACTTTCCTGATGGTGGCCAATGAAGCACTAAAGTTATAATATTGCTTAAGTCCAATTTACCTATTTTTTTCTTTTGTTGCTTGTGCTTTTGTTACAGGATTCCAGGACAGGAGGAATAGGGAAACGGAGACAGGAAAGTTTAAAACAGTGTGGGCAATGTGCAGCCAGCTTGTAACTAACAAGCCATTATCTTCCCCAGACAATGGTTAAAAAAAATCCACCTCTCTAAGGAGAGAATGCAGAAAGGCAGGGGGAAAGGAGAAAGAAAGAAAAAAAAAAAGGCAGTTTTACTCCCTAAAGAGAAAAGCCAATAGTCTCAAGGCTTGGCAAGATAAGTTGCCAGGTGCTTCTCATGAATTCTGGGAAGGCCACAAGAAAGTAAAAAGAAGGGACCTGGAGAATTAATCTGCACCAAAACATTCAGCAAACAAATTTTGAAGCCTACAGACAGGAGGGTATGTAACGCCTCAGACCCCCACCCAACTCACTCTTCAGATTAGCAGAGAGCCTGTCTGTGCTTCCTAAGGCAGATATATAGGTTTGCTTTTTCAATAAAGGTGCACACTTTAATTGCTTTAATAAGTTGGCTTTTCACAACTCAGTCCAGGTCTCCTGTATAAATTCATTTATATGAGAAGATGAGGCTCCAGGTGGGGAACAGCCCTCTCCCACTGACTCAGGGAGCTGTCTGTAACACCTCTAACACTTTTGTGACCACTTTTGGAGACCACTGCCTAATCCAAGGTCACGAAGATGGATAGCTCCGTTTTTAAGCGCTCTATTTCTAGTTCTAGCATTTAGGCCCATGTATATTCTGAGTATATATTTTTGAATATGTTGTGAGATAGGGAGGCTTATGATATTTTTATGTTGTGTTTTCAGTCTTTACCATTCAACAAAATACAATGAAAATTCTCTGGGAAGAGAAAGCTCAAGTGGGAAGAAGGGGCTTACTTTCAGCCTCTTCACTGGGGTTTGCCAGTCCTTGACTGGCAAGGGGCTGGCGTTTGGAATTCTTGCTGCCATGGCCCTATCTATTACCCTTCCCCACTCTCCATCTCGTTTCTTTCGCC